CAGTCTGGGCGACAGAGTGAGACTCCAACTCAAAAAAATAAAATAAAATAAATAAATAAAAAATAAAAAATATGGATTTGAGCCGGGCTCGGTGGCTCAGCCTGTAATCCCGCGCTTTGGGAGGCTGAGGTGAGTGGATTGCCTGAGCCCGCAGGTTCAAGACCCACCTGGGCAACTTGGTGAGACTTCATCTCTACAATAAATAAAAAAATTAGCTGGGCGTGGTAGTGCATGCCTGTAGTTCCAGCTACTGGAAAGGCTGAGGTGGAAGGATCGCCAGAGCCCAGCAGGTGGAGGCTGCAGTGGCCAGGAGCGTGCCACTGTACTCCAGTCTGGGTGACAGAGTGAGACTCCAACTCAAAATATATATATATATATTTGTCACCTATTAGCTTTCAGGCCCTGGTATAGGTACTGGGGACTGACCAAAAATAAAATTCAAAAGTCCCTCATGGTACTTGCATTCTAATGGGGAAAACAGATAAAAACCAAACAGGCCAGTATGACAGACACATACTAAGGTGGTCCCCAATATACATATCCTTGTCTAATTCCCACCCCTTGAGTGTAAGACCTGTGACTAGCTAGAATAGGGCAAAGGCAATGGGATGGCACTCCCATAAATTAGGTTACAACATTTGGCAAAGGTGATGGAGGTCAACCTGTGATTATATCATGTATATCTTGATTCCATCTTGCTAGGACACACAGGAGAGTCTTTCCAGCTGGCCTTGAAGAGGAAGGCAAGAAGCAGCAGCAAAAGCAAGTTGCTATGATGGGAAGAGCCTATGGAGAGGGTGACATGACAGAGAACTGTGGGTGGCCTCTAGGAAGTGAGGGCCTTAGAAACTGAATTCTGTCAACAATCATGTGAGCTTGAAAGAAAAACTCAGATGAGGCTGCGACCTCAGCCAGGACTTTGACTGCAGTCTAGGAGACCCTGAGCAAGTGAAGCAGTGAAATCATACCCAGGTTCCTGACCCACAGAAACCAGGATAATAAATGTTTTGCTTTAAGCTGCTAAATTTGTGATAATTTGTTATAGAGCAATAGAAAATTACAGGGGGTGACAAAAAAAGTATGAATATTTTAAGTATGATGTACATTCAAAAGATGGCATTAGTTAAATGATTGCTAGCGTCACCATGCAACAGGCAGGACAGTCAAAGAAAATGGCGGAAGCATGGTTGAGCAAATGTCATACTGCACATTGCTACTGTGATTTAATTCAATTTCAAAAAGTAATACATAGATACCATCTCTTAAAAATGTGTATACTGACTGGGCTCTGTGGCTCAGCCTGTAATCCCAGCACTTTGGGAGGCTGAGGCGAGTGAACTGCCAGAGCCCACGGGTTCAAGACTGTCCCAGGCAACTTGGCGAGACGTCATCTCTACAATAAATCAAAAATTAGCCGGGTATGGTAGTGTGTGCCTGTAGTTCTGGCTACTTGGAAGGCTAAGGCGGAAGGATGGCTGGAGCCCAGCAGGTTGACAATGGGGTGGTTGTGAGTATGCCACTGCACTCCAGCTTGGGCAACAGAGTGAAATTCTGACTCAAAAAAAAATGTGTATACCTTTTTTTGGCACCCCAGTATATAATGTATCAGGTAGAGGTAAATGTTACCGAGAAAAATAAAGTAGGGTAATGCAAATGAAAGTGTGTGTGTGTGTGTGTGTGTGTGTGTGTGTACTTGTGTGCACATGCTGTTTTGGAAAGATTGGTCATAGAAGACCTTACTGTCTTTTTTTTTTGTCCTCTCCATAGAGGACTGTCTTATGTTTTAATGTTTCACTGGTGAGGCATGGTGGCATGCCTGGAGTTCCAGCTACTTGGGAGGCTGAGCCAAGAGGATTGCTTGAGCCTACGAGGAGTTTAAGACTGGCGTGGTAGACACAGTGAGACCCTATCTGAAGAGAAAAATGTTTCACTGGTTTGTCTTCCACAGTCAGTCTTTGGGCTCCATGGGAGCAGAAATGATCTTGCTCTCCCTGAATACCTAGAGCCTGGCACAATACAAAGGCTCAAGAGTTGAACAAGGAAGTCCACAAATGAGTCTTGTTTTCCAAGATACTGAGCTCCTTGAGGGCACAAAACCATCTTTTTTGTTCCTCTCTAGTCTCCAAAATATCTGCCCTACACAGTTAGCATTTAATAATCCCTAGAACTCATTCTCTGTCTCTAACTTTGTCCCTGGCCCCACCCCTCTCATCCTAATGTGCTCCTGGGTCACCTCTCCATGTCAGAGTCACCTTTTCCAGACGGGTCTCCAATTCTGACACTTCGGCTTCCACCAGCTCTATAGAGGCTCTGGGAAAGAAGGGATGGGGTCATGGGAACCGAGCCTGGGTCCATCGAGTCTGTCTGCCTCATCAGGGTTGGGGTTGGAGTCACAGAGTTGGTGGGTGCAGACAGGAAACTGCTGGGTTGAGATGGCCCGCCCACCTGCCTCCTCTTGCTCTGCTCATGCTGTAGCCTGGGAGCTACTACAGCCTCAGCCAGAGCAGGAAGGGTAAGAAGGAGGGTGGATGTGGTGAGGGCAGGAAGTTGCTAACCGCCCCAGAGCAGGTGCAGGGGGAGGAGCAGGGGTCCCAGTGAAAGGCAGGGGGGAATGTCAGCTCTAGGGGTGAGAAAGAGGCTGGAGATGCCAGGAGGTTGCATGCAGGGAGAGAAGAGCACTGGAGCACCCAGTTTGATAGCAGAGCTACTGCTTTGGGCCACAAGGTTGCCCTAGTCCTTTTGAGACCTACACTGTGGAAGGAGATCTGGCCTAGGGAAAGTTGTGTGTATATGACCAAGAGTATTAGACCCTCTCCTCCTCAGCCTCCCAAACAAGCACACACTTACCGGAAGCGGGGTGAGTCCTTGAGGCACTCCTCAAAATCCAGCTTGACCGTCATCTTAGTTTGACTGCTGTGAGGCCAGCAGTCCCTGGAGGCTGCCAGACAGGGGATGCAGGTAGAGGCTCCTCTGTTCCGAAGGAGAGATGACAGGGAAAGAGGAGAGGGTCCTCTGCTGGGTAGGGCCTGGGGGGAGCAATTCTTTCCCCAAAGGGAAGGGGTGTTCCTGGAGGAGCTCTCACCCCACACTTCCAGGCAGCGCTGGGAGGGGCAGGGGCGGGGCCTGGGCAGAGGGGGCCTGAGATCAGAGAAGCCACAGCCCCGCCCTCAGAGACTCTGCTGTCACCTTCCTCCTGAGGGCCCTAGACTCTCTCTGCTTCTTTCTCCTTTAGTGGTTGAGTTTTGGGGGCCTGCAGATACAGGTTCAAATCCCAGTTCTGTCACTTAAAGGTTGCGTGACCCTGGGCAAGTTCTCTGATCCCTCAGTTTTCTCATTTGGAAGATGGGAATGATAACAGCTACCTCCAGGGCTGTAAGAAGTTAAGATGATGATACTGGTACATTTATGGTTAACTAAATTAATTGCATCAGTCATTGTCATGCTGCTGCAGCTTGGGCCTTCCTGGGATCCTAGGCTCTTGTTGAATCTAGTACCCTGGACTGCTCCCAGCTTTCTTCTCTCTGCTCTGCCTTTATGGTTTCCTGTGTGGGAATTTCCTCTCCCCACCTGCTCACTGCAACAATTAAGCAGGCCCAGCCAGGGCACCCAATTCACAGGCCCCAGACTCCTGCTCTTCTTCTCTTTATTGTCCACTCCCAGGTGGTGAAAGTAGGGAAAGTTGCCCCCACCCCACCCCCAGGGGGCTACATTTTCTATTGTTTGGTTTCCTCTTCCTGAGTCCATCAACGCTGCACGGTTTCATCTGGAGAGAGAAGAGTTTGGGTTAGTGGCTTTCTTGCAGTCGCATGAAATCTTGCCCATGTGACCCCCAAGTTCCCTAGAATCTCCACCTGAGCCCCTCTACCTCCCTGGCCAGTGCAAGCATCCCCTTGCCTCTGCCCAGGGTCAGTCTGCCAGTCTGTACTTGTTCTGGTTTGTGGGTTTTCTTTGCTTTCCTCTCTAAACTCCCTGGGCTTTGTCAGCTCAGCTCCTTGGCCAAGTCATTGGACAGCACTTGAAACTATCTTTGGAGGACAGGGAAATACCTGGAGTGGGTATGGTGGCAGAGAGGAGTCAAGGAGAGGGCGTGAAGCTGGAGGGGGTCCCAATCCCTCTGAGTCTCCCTGGTTCCTTTCCTGTTCATTGTGGGTCTTGGACTCCATGATGTTTAGGATCTCTCTTAGCACCTGTTGCTGGTGTACCGGCCTGAAAGAATTGGAGGGCCGGGAGATGGAAACTTGCCAAGAGCTAAGCAGGCCCAGGGAGATGGTGGCTCAGTGCCCTCACCAGGCTTCAATGATGTAACTGCCACCATCAGGGAGCTCTCAGTGGCCTTGTGATCCCTAAAGGAACCTCCCATGTGGTCCAGTAGGTGGACCTCAGTACTTATGGGATTCACCAGGTCAAGCTCATGGAGCATGGAAGAGTCATGGGATCAGGGCGGGGAAACCATCAGGTTGTTGGTTCTCAGGCCTCCTGCCCACCCCCCAGGCTGGCCTGCCCTAGCTCTCACTGTCCTGCTGCTCATCTTCTGTGTCCTCCTCAAGCTCTGGGTGGGAGCAGGACCTTAGGTATATTTCTTTGCTGTAATACTCCTTGCGTTGCAGATAAGCCTCCTGCTCCAACATGACGGTAGCCAAAGCTGGGGGGGACTGATTTCTGTAGGTAGAGGAATCTGAGGGATCACCCAAATTAATCTGAGTCTTACGGCCACTTGATGTATCCATGCCTCCCAGGGTCCACTGTGGGCCTCTACCACAAGGGAAATCTCAGGTCCCAGGTCCTCATCTCATTTACTTGTCTTACCCCTCTCATTTGAAAAAAAACTTCAGTGACCTCTCCATCCCCCATGATTCTCTTGAACTTTCTGTTCTTCACCAGCCAACCATCTCTGGGGCCTATCCTAAGTGGGGTCCCCAGTCTAGCTGCCCTCTTTCCTCCATTGGATCTTCTCCAAACCCTCTTCCCTGTCAGGCAGCAGAGCTTTGGGCTGATGCCCATTGAGAAAGACAGACTATGGTGGAGAAGTGAAGAATAGGCTCTGTACTCCAACTCCCTTGAGTCCCTGGAGCCCCTCCATAGCTAACCCTTGGCTTTAAGGATGTGCTTCCTGGTCACCAAGGCAGTCTCGTCTTTGGCTTTTCTGGCCAGTTCTTCTGTGCAGCCTCTCCGCACAGGCCTGGGCTCTGGGTCCAGCATCACACTTTGACTGCCCTTGCTGATACTGACACTACCCCTGTTGCTGTTCTGGTTATCATCCAAGGACAGGTTTTTCTGAGGCTTCAGGAACTTCCCTTCATTGTAGTGTGCCTTGCGGTGCTTGTCAAAATCACTGGAGTCTGTGGACCATTGTGAGAACTTGGCTTTCCCACCAGGCTCTCACTGAAGGTTCATCCTACCTCCCATTTCCATTCAGTCTCCAACCCTTATCTCACGTGTCTTGGAAAAGTTGTCTTGAGACCCTGAGCTTCTGTTATCATAGTACTGGAGGACCTTGGGAGAGATATTGTCCATTGTTGCCAACCTGAAGGGGAGGGAGACTAGTTGGAGAACAACAATGGCAGTGGGTGCTACGTAGATGGTCCACCCACCCCCAGATCGGTCTTCCTCAGGCCTGATGAGAATTGTAGTACTTTCCATTTGGGGTGCCAAAAAGCAGAGCTGTCTCAAACCTGAGCTCAGGGGTAAAGGTAGGAAGAGAACCCACAATTCAACTGAACTTTGGCAGGACTCTCACCTCTCTGCCAGCACTTCAGGAGTCACTATGTGGGAGGCATCTGCAGAAAGGTCTTCATCCCTGTCCTGTAGCCTGCATGGGGTGGGGGGGAAGCAGTGCCAGGAGGGGGCATTAGGCAATATCCAGTCCCTGAGGACTCTCTGCCTCCTCCACCTGTCCCCTCTTGAACACAGAAGAGTTTAGGTTGAAGGGCTAGGGCTGACGGCTCGGCACCTGTGATAAGGAGTTTTGGGCTCATCCACCTTCTTAAATCCATAGTTCTTGTCAGCAGGGTGGTAGGTGGCCAGGATATTCATCTCATCCCAGTGCTGAAACTTTTTCCTGGGGTTGGGACACAGAAAAGGGAAAGATGTTCTAGTGACCGCCCTTCACAGCCTTCCCTCATGCTTCCAATCATTCAAAAATATTTTCTTTCTTTTTTTTTTTTCTGAGTTGGAGTCTCACTCTGTCACCCAGACTGGAGTGCAGTGGTCGCTCCTGGGCACCGCAGCCTCGACCTGCTGGGCTTCAGGGATCCTTCCACCTCAGCCTTCCCAGTAGCCAGAATCACAGGCACGTGCTACCATGCCCGGCTGATTTTTTTATTTTATTGTAGAGATGAGGGCTCACCAAGTTGCCCAGGTGGGTCTCCAACCCGTGGGCTCAGGCAATCCACTCACCTCAGCCTCCCAAAGCGCGGGATTACAGGCTGAGCCACCGAGCCCGGCCAAAAATATTTTCTAATACCCCCTTGTAGAAGATGGGGATGGGGTCAGAGGCAATGATAATCACGGTACTATGTAGCCAAGCACCTGCTCTGCTCCGAAAGGCCTAGAACCTCAGATTTACCACATAATTGCCCTCACCTACTCCAACTCCTAGTTCTCAAGATTTCCTTTCCCTTCTGGCGCAGACCCTCCGGCATCCTAAACCCTCCCGGCTCTGCGCTGCCTGCCAGTAGAGCTGGGCTCCTTACTTTTCCACACTTGGGGATTTCTGCATCAAGATGGAGCTGTTCTTTTTTAGGATGCCCCGGCGTTGGTCCTCATTGGAGTCGTGGGGGCACAAGCAAGTTGACCCGGAGTGCGGACTGCATTCCGAGCTATAAACCCCAGGCTCTTTGGGCTCAGGGCTGGAAGCTCTGGATACACTGGTTCCAGGGCCAGAGGTGTTGCACCCACCAGCGTTTGTGCCAGACACAAGGCTGTGGCCCACAACCTCCTCAGGGTGCTGACTGGGCCCAGAACTGAGGACTACTAACTCCCCAGAGGGCTGGCTTGAATCAGAACTGGGAATTAACAAGCCCCCCGAGCACAGGGAGGGCCCAGAACCGCGACACAAGACTACTTCGGAGGGCTGCCCGGCGCCTTCCTCGACTCCTTCGACCCCTCCGGGAACTCCCCTGGTTGCCCCACCAGGGGATTCCCGGTCGAGGCTGCCAGCAGCCCCTAGAGACTCCAGCTTCTCCATGGCCCCACTAGGGGGCCACTCTCAGCCACCCCGCCCCGCCTCCTTGTTCCACATAGCCCCGTCCCAGGCCCCGCCCCCACCGCGGTGGGCGGAGGCGCTCGGGCTCCCGTCTGGGTCCCCTCCCCCTCTGCTCCCTGGAGCCGCGGTGGGTGGAACTCAGACTGTATATAGGATCCTCAGGCTAGGAGCCCCTCCGTTCGCCCGTTTTCTTTTTGTCCCACCCAAAGACTTTCTTTCTTTGTCTCTGTAGTTTGTTCCCGCCCTTCCCCTCATCACCACCCTTATCCAAACCAGCCAATCATAGGCAGGGGACCTGGCCAAGAGGCGCTATGCCTTAATTGTGACGTCACAGTCCTCCAACCCAAGCTTAAGCGTCGGAGAGTCGGGCTCGGAACTTGTTAATAGCTCTGGGGGAATCAAGCGGCATTGCTTGAAACTGCCAGTAGAGGTTACTTTGGGATCCTATTTGTGGCTTTAAAATCTAATAGTTTGGTGGAATTGGTTGGTGTTCAGGCGGGGTTTGACTTGAAATATCAGCGAGCTTCCCCCAACAACGGGGGTCTCCTTCTGCCTCCCGAGAGAGGTGTGAAGCAAAGTGGAGGGATTGCGACACTGTCGCAAGACATTTCCAGTCTCAGTGGTGTGGAGGACAGAGAATGTCACTCATAAAGCTGCCGCTTCACTTCTCTGGGTCCTCCAGAGTCCGCGAACACCGCTTCTACGTGTTTATCGCGAAGGGAAGACGCCCCCCCTGCCGTAAAGCAAGTACTTAAATGCGTCACCTCCTCCTTGCGCGGGCTGGGTCGCCGGTGCTATTGTCGCAAAGTTGAAAGTGTTGGGGTTCTAGCACCTCTCCGTCGTAAAGATGCCTGGGGAAGGCGATTCTTCCTTTCACTGTCGCAAAAGCTCCCGCCCAAGTCT